TTTAGACCTGTCCTCCCAGTTTTATTCAGCTGTTGGCTGTATTTTCGGCCATGGGCTGTGTACTTTGCACTTTTGTGCGTTTTTGTTATATAATATTTTCTATCGTTTCGTAAAAAAAAAAAAAAGATTAAAAAAAATCAAAACTAAAAGGTTAAATAATATTCATTAAATAAAATATGTTGCATAAAGAGAAGTGTTTAATAATATATAGTTTTTCATTGTTTTTATTTATTTAAATTCTGTAATAAGATGAGATGTCAAAAATATAAACAATTATATTAAAAATAAAGTCTAAAAAAAAGTTTAAATATGAGTTCCTCCATGCATCGCACGGGATACACACTAGTATACCATAAATTGTTAAATTAATTTTCCAAAATAGTCAATAGATTTTTTTTAGGGAAATAGTTACTGTTTAAAAAATAATTAAACCTTTATATATTATAATACGGAGGGTATTTGTAAAGTAATCATAAATTTTTCGTTGGTAATAAGTCATACATCATAAAAAATCTCCTTATACACAACATTATTAGTTTGATTACTGAGTAACTTATTGTCCGCATAAACTAATATTTTCAACCACTTTCTATTAGTTACATGTGAAACAACAACATATAACTGAACGTGACTAAGAAAAAGGTTTCTTCAAGATTAACCCATCATGCGATAAAGATTGACTCTGACAATATATGCGTTTTTGTATTTTTTTGGTAAATTGTTTTTATTCTATGAGTTTGAATTAGATATAAGCCTCACATTCGTGGCACAAACAAAAATATGGTATAAAACTAAAGTGATAATATGTTGATATGGTAAATGTCACAAATTTTGTTTATTCGGATGATACCAGAAAATGATTTTCACCACGAAAATAGTGATACCATAGAAAAAAAAAAGATCGTGTGTTTATCTCTTCTATTTTCTTGGTCTCATTTTATCACCAATTTGATTCCAATATTTGGAATAAATTTAAAATGCAATCTTTCAAAATAAATTTGTTACGTTTAAATGATCATTTAGATTGTAACTATTGCATAACAATAAGTAAAAGAAATGTTACGTTCAAATAAGAAATTTATTTATATGAATATAAACTCTTGTAAATAAGATTTCCATGAAGATTGCATTTTATATTTATCTTTATTATTATAGCATTCTCATTAAAAAAAATTGTTACGTGATTAGTGAATTTTTTGTTTACTTCTTTTATTTTCTTAGTATCATTTTACAGCTAATTTGATTGCATTCTTTGGAATAATTATAAAATGTAATCTTTAAAATGAATCTGTTATTATTATAAAGAGAGATTTAGATTGTATCTATTGCATGAGAATATTAAAAAATTTAAAATTATGGATTTTGTTGAATTCATTTTTGAAAATTTCGACAAATATTGAACTGAATATGAAATTCAAAATCTCTTCTCATTTTATCTTTAATAAAATCTACATCCAAATTTACGTGTGATTTTGAAGTGAAAATTTGAAATCCAAAATATCTTCTCATTTTAGTTACAAGAAAATTGGGCTGCATTCAATACTTGGACCAATTTAAAAATTATTCCTTAAATGAAAGAATGTATAGATAATTGTTATTTCTACTCAATCACATGATTATTTTCAATATAAAAAGAGACAGATTACAAATTAGTGAATCATATATTACCTAATTCATTTTTTTTTTCCCAAAACGACAGATATTATTATAAATCAAAAGTCACAAATGTGCGAATACACAGATAAGAGCAGCCAACGGCTGAAAAGTGGGAGGACAGATCTGAAGACCACTTAGAATCCCGACGCTAGCAAAACTAGAATAAAAAACACTCGCGACTACACAATAACTAACTAAACAACAACACAAAAACTACAAACAAAGATCCCACCGGGATAAGACAAACAACACAAAAACTACAAATAAAGATCCCACCGAGTTAATGCCCAGTGTCAGATCCCACCAGGATAATAAATTGACACTCGGGCTCACAAGGGCGAACTACCCAAACCAAAAAAACAGAAACAGACACAATCACAGGAAATACAAAACAAGAACAACATATATACTACAATAACATTATAGCCCTTCCCCAGCAAACAAGCAGGCCCAACTAGCAGTGAGCGATCGACCCAAGAAAGATACCGATCTCAAGAAACCACTACCGAAACTGCAATGTCGCCTATACAGTAGCCGAACCCGAGCCCTAAACTAATTCTTGAATCGACCCATCTTCAACCAAGAGAGACACAACCAGCCCAAACACCTGCCCACCCGAACCCGTCTAACACCACTAGCCGAGCTCAAGAGAACCGGAACCACTGCCGCCTAACACCACTAGCCGTACAGAGGAAGGCGGTTCGGTCTCTCAACCCCGACCGCCGCAACATGATACAGCGCAGCAGCCGGAGTCCCACCACACCCGATAACTCACGCGCCGCTCGAAACCACCACAGAACGCCTTCGACCAGAAGCCTAGACTCCACCAGAAGAGGCGGAGCCCCGCTGGAAAAGGCAGAGCCCAAGAATCGTAGACAGGGAGGGGAGCGAGAAACTTACCGCCACCAATCTGAGCACTTCAGGCGACTGAGGGGAAGACATCGATCTCAGGCCAGACGCCGACCAGGAGGCGCGCCTCCGCCGACCAGAACCCCAACAACAATCGAAGACCAGACTTCCAATCTTTGACAGACCACAGCAACACGGCGTCGCGCGACATCAGGAGTGGCCAAGCGGTCAAGGACGACCCCTAGCTGAAGCTCCGTCGGCGCCGAGGAAGGCAAATCGACCTGCAATTAGGATTGAGCGAGCGGATTTATGAAACGAGGGTTTGTCGCCAGAGGAGAAAGGGGGATCTTTTATTCCACTCTTTAAAAAGGGATTTTGACAAAATCAAGTACAAATTGAATCACTTTTTTCATGGCTATCTTCTCTCATGCAATTAATGCTTTTATTTGTTCTGTAGTTAAAAGACTAGTACGAATCTCGTGCGATGCACGAGTGAGAGATATTCATTAATATTTTTAAATTAAAAACATAGAATTAATATGTAATACAATGTATCTATATTAATTTATTGTAAATGTTATATAATTTAAATTGTGCAAAATTACATAAAAATGTCAATTTTTAAAATTAGTACACAACCCATACGTTGCACAAAACTAATAATAAATTATATTATATTCGTTTCAATATATGTGTCATTTCAAAAAATTTATTCAGAAATTTGATTTGACTATAATGTGATTCTATAAAATAATTATTTTGATAAAATTTTATCATATATTTAAAAACCTATGTGAATAATAAGTATAAATATAAAACTTATATTGTGTCATTAATTAAAATGAATTTATTTTTGTATAAAATATCCAAATAAAAAAATTGAACTAGTTGAGTAAAAGCAATCAGTCATAAGATTTTTTATGCCAAAAAAATCGACACTCTTTATCATGGTAAAAAAAATGAACAGTGCAATTCACACAAAAATTATTTGAAATGTCGTAACATAAAATGAATTAAACTGAGACCCACTAACTATACAAAGAAAAAAAATTGACCAGAGTTTTTTTATTAAGAAAAGAACATTGATACACGCACATTATATCAAAATGTCCGTTTATATTATTTTTTCGAAGTTACAATAATTTTATTATGTTAATTTCATACGAAAAAATTGAAATAAAAATTTAAATACACACCTAAAAATTAATATATTAGCATGTGCATTACAGAAAAAAAATACACCGTATATTGGTTAATTTTTCAACAAGTTTCCTACTAAAAAACAGTCATCAAATAACCTAAATAAATTTGCTCACTTTATACCATATATTGATTAATTTATTTCCCATAGAAACAACCATCAATACCAAAAATAAATCCATCCACTTTATACTATGTATTAATTAATTCATATGATTTGAGTAGTTAAGGTATCTTAAAATATGAATTAATTACTTCCTTCAATAATGAGTTGCAATTTTCATAACTGATTATTTAATATATACCATAAATTGTTAAATTAATTTTCAAAAATAGTAAATATATTTTTTTGGAGGAAAATAGTTACAATTTGAAAAATAATCAAACCTGTATGTATATATATATATATATAGATGTGTGATAATTCTTTTTTTGGAAGGTCATTAATTATTTTGGCGGGAAATTCTTACTAAAATTGATTTAACCTTATTCTTATTTTATATATATAGATTGAATTAATACTATATCGGTGTACTACATTCATGTTTGATAAAATATTAAATGTACAACAAAAAAAAAATGTTTATATATTTTGTTGAGGTTGAAAAAAATAAATAAGAAACAATATATAACAATTTACAATAAAGAGCTAAGTGAATTAACAGTATTATTTTTAGTTGAAAACTAATTTATATCCATCATTTGTTTTATTTATAAATTTTTTGTTTAAAACACATAAAAGAATATATGGACAAAACACAAAATGTATTTATGAACATCCAAATCTAAGTTATTTTGTATAAAATATTAGTAAATTGCGTAATATTTTATCATATAAGATCATGCTATAAGAAGATAATTGAAAAACTGATGTGTTTGTAACGGTGTAGGTAAGGCTGCAAACGAGTCGAGCGGCGAGAGCTCGAGTCGAAGTTCGACTCGAGCTCGAGCCTATATTTTGCCTTGTCGAGCGGCTCGATATATAAATTAAATTATTAAAATACCCTATATATATATATATATATATTTAAAGGCTGCGTTTGGTTGCCAGTATTGGGCGTGATATCATGACAATTGATATTATATCAACAAGATTAATATGTTTGGTTGAGTACTTTTTGGCCCTGAAAATGGAGCTAGGCCCGCACCATATCCCTAAAAATGCTATTACCATATCCCACAAAATTGGTGGAATAGTTGTATCATTTCTTTCATAAAATAGTTAAAACACCAAAAATCATCCAAATTAAATCTAATAAATCCCATAGCCGCTCTCAAGTTCCAAATTATAAATCCTACCGAATACTGCCATCCCCATGGCTGCTCTCAAGTTCCGATTTAGATTTGAGAAATCCATCTTTGCACTTCTTTTTCTAAATTACATCCAAGTACTGCAATCTCCATTGTCGCTCTCAAGTTCCAAGAGTCCGCTAGAAAATAACGTTCTCCGGCGACGCCGATAGTCGAAAGGGTCGCCATTCTCCAGTGATTTTTAAGTTCCATTGGGACAAAATCTGAGTATGCTCGCCTAATAGCAACACCAAGTACAAAAAAAATTGTTCAGTGGGAAATTTCCCTTTACGAAGTCCGTACAAGAAGCGAACCCGATATGACGCCATCGAGGAGAAGTTATGAGAGCGACTGAGATTTACTCTCTTGAAGATCGGTATAATAATTGAAGATTTGGGTTGAGGAATTAAAACTCCTATTTCGCTGAAGAATAATTTTGGAAAGAGTTCATCAATCAATATTGGATGGACATTGTAAAAAAAATTACTTTATGATACTTTTTCGGTGATTTTGGAGCTGGGTGTGAAATAGAAAAAGAAAAAAAGTTATTATCCACAACTAAGATGATAATTAAGAATTATAAAATACTTTATACACAATCCATAAAAAATAACCAAACTGGTCAATAGAGTGGATTACATCATTTGGATAGCTCGGTAGAATAAATTAGATAGCATCAAGCCCTATACCCAATTTTAACCAAACTGGCCCAAATAGTATAACACAAGTGCTTAATGGTAATTTCTTTTAAAAAATTCGAGCTGAACTCGAGCCGAGCTCCAGTATTTGATTTCGAGTCGAGCTCGAGCCGAACTTGAGCTATTGTATTTTCTTATCGAGTCGAGCTCGAGCCTCATAAATGGAGCTCAACGAGCTCGAGCAGCTAAAATAAAAATTCAATCGTACTCGAAAATACCAATGCTTGACTCGACTGACTCGACTCGTTTGCAGCCCGATGCAGGTGATATTTTAGACGAGGGTTTGCCACACCTACTCTTGAGGCTATAAATTGACTATAAATGAAGACCAAAGTACACTTTTTCCTTACATCTCTTTTCTGGTAAATTCGATCCTACCGGTGAGGGCAGTGCCCTCACCGGCTTAATGGCCGACACGTGTCCATTAACATTTTTTTTTTGTTTTTTGTTTAATGATAGTTAACAAATGTCAACCATACCAATAAACAATGGTTAAATCACCTACTCACCTTACCAAAACATCTATAGTAATATAAAGAGATTGTTGGAATAATATTTTTATAGTAAGTTTGACTAAAAAAATAAATGGTTTGACTTACTATCAGTGGAAATTTCGGAAAAAACACATGTACTTAAAAAATGAGATTTTTATGGTAACAAATTTGGAGATTTTATGGTAACAAATTTAATTGAGATATCTCAAAAAATTGGAGATTTTTATTGATATAGGATATTATATACTGGACCGGTTTTAATGTATAAAAAGGGAATATATTGAAGAATAAGCCTACACATGGCTAGGACACGTGGCATGAGGCTATTGGACAAGCCCAACTTGGGCAATAAGGTACATTCCCCTTATTAAAGAGGGCTAAGATATCCCATTCTCACACTCTCTCTACATTCATAATTATACTCTTGAGATTTGGAGTTATTCTGACTTGAGCGTCGGAGGCTCGACGCCGGGACCCCTCCCGGCGTTGGGTTCTTGCAGGTACGGAGGCCGACCGAGTCAAAGGAGCCCGAGGGAAATCTTATTCACTTCATTTATGGTAACAAATTTGGAGATTCCTATACCAAAATTTAATTCATTTTAAATATTAATCCATAGGAATCTACTTTTATTGGTAACAAATTTGAAGATTGTTATGCCAAAAAATTGAGATTTTGAATTGAGATATTCCAACAATTACGGATTTTTTTCACATTCAAATTAATGTTGTAAATCAAACAAAAAATTATTCCAAAAATAATGGATGTTATACCAACTATTGATAAACTCCAATCCCATAGGAGATCTCTATGGGTTTCGTATGGTAACAAATTGGAGATTCTTATGCCAAAAAATTGAGATTTTGAATTAAGATATCCTAACAATTTCGGATTTTTTTCCCTTCAAATTCATGTTGTAAATCAAACAAAAAATTATTCCGAGAATAGGAATCTCCAAATTTGAAGATTGTTATGCCAAAAAATTGAGATTTTGAATTGAGATATTCCAACAATTACGGATTTTTTTCCCATTCAAATTAATGTTGTAAATCAAACAAAAAATTATTCCAAAAATAATGGATGTTATACCAACTATTGATAAACTCAATCCTATAGGAGATTTCTATGGGCTTCTTATGGTAACAAATTGGAGATTCTTATGCCAAGAAATTGAGATTTTGAATTAAGATATCCTAACAATTTCGGATTTTTTCCCCTTCAAATTCATATTGTAAATCAAACAAAAAATTATTCCGAGAATAATGGATGCTATACTAAATATTGATAAACTCCAATCCATAGGAGATTTTTATGGATTTCTTATGGTAACAAATTAAAGATTCTTATGGTAACAAATTTGGAGATTCTTATACCAAATTTAATTCATTTTAAATATTAATCCCATATGAATCTATTTTTATTGGTAACAAATTTGACGATTCTTATGCCAAAAAATTAAATTTTGAATTGAGATATCTCAACAATTACGGATTTTTTTTCCATTCAAATTAATGTTGTAAATCAAACAAAAAATTATATCGAGATAATGGATGCTATACTAAATCTATACTTATATAATAAGGTGTACCATTTACAAAATTTAGTAAGTTGAAAAGTCAATGAAATAAATGCATTACTATTTTGAGCAACATAATACAGTATCATATCTATACTTATATAAAAGGAGATTCTATTTACTACATTTACTATCCAGAAAAGTCAACTGCATTAAATGTCATTACTATTTTGGTATTATAATATTTTATTTATTTATTTTATTTTAAAAAGGTAAGTATAATAAAAAGATTTTTATAATAAAAAAATTGAATACCAAATAAAAATGTAAACTTTGACTTATTTGATTATATTTGGTATTTGATTATACCAAATATATTCCTATTTAGTATATACATTAAATACTTACTAAAATATTTATTTATTTTATTTGTCAAAGTTAAGTATAGATTTGTTTATATTATCAAATCATAAAAAAATATTAAATCCATATTGTAAAAAAAAAATCATATAATTTTATAATAATTACTACACTATTTAACAATATTCTTTTTTTTATTATATAATAAAATAATAATTAAATATTATATGGTGAACAACAATAAGTAAAACTGTTACTTTCTCTTATATCAAGGGATAAATTTATATGCTAAAATTAAATTTTTATTAGTATAAATGTTTTAGTGAGATAATATATTAATTATTTTACAAGCTAGCCCTAACATGCTCATATTTAATGTTTTAAAAGATGTAGAAAAAAACTTATAATAACTCTATTGTTTTTTAGACTTAAACGTTGATTAAAAGAGGTAAAAATTCCTAATTTTTTAGACTTAAACGTTGATTAACACCATAGATTGAGAGTTTATATTTAATAAAATTCCTAATTGTAATAAAAAAAAATTAATTTTTGCTATATTTTAGAATATCTTTAAATTCATTATTAAAAAAAAAAACAAACTACAATGAAAAAAGCAAGTCAGCTATATATCGATTTGTTGTACTCCTCAAATCACATTCACAATTTGACTACAAGGAAAGGAAAGTCATTGATTAAAATATTATTTTGTCAGTAGTCTTAATGTACAAGAGACTTTAAGACTCCACTTGAATATTATAAAATTTTTATTGAATATTGTACAATTTTTTTGCGTATTATAAACTTTTATTGAATATTGCATCTTATAATATAATATTCTCTAAATAAATATATCTCGTGCTTCGCACGGGTCACATACTATATATATCCCGTACATTTTTCTTTATTCATGTATATAATTATATGTCTGGATAAATAGCCTTAAAATTGTGCACCTCGTGCATTGCACGGGCTTTGTACTAGTCAATATCAATGGGCCCACACGTTAATATGATATTAATTAGATAGATAAATTACGTAAATCTTTCCTAACAAAATGCGTTCCAATATTGTTAACCAATTTAATGAGATTTTGTTAACTAATTTGATAGGATTTTGGTAACTACGGCATTTGGTAATTTGATAGGATTTTGGTAACCCCGTGCGATTATTGTACTAGTTTAATTAAACAAAGAACAAAATTACAATATTTTAAACCATAATCAGATTTATCAAATCTGAGATCGGCAAATTGAACCCTAACACCAAATATCAAATTTCCGGTCTCCCATCTACGCCCGTTTCTGGTCGTCTCCGACCCATCTCCGCCTGTCTTCTGTTGTCTTAGGGTGTCTCCGGCCCGTCTATGCTTAAATCTGCCGGGCGTTTCTCGCCATCTCCGTCCGCCTCCTCCCGTGTCCGTGTGTCTTCGCCTGTCTTCGCATAAGTCCAACAATTTTTGCTCAAATCTCTGGATGTCCATAAAAGTACAATTTTGTGCTTTCTTGTTGCATTTCATCCGTTTTAGACATGAGTTGTATGAATGTTTTTCAATAGATTTTGTTGCAGAGATTATATTTTTTCTTTTCTTTTTTTTTTTTGGTTGCAGATTATATTGTGATGTTTGTGTCCAACAAGCTTGTGAATTTTAAGTCTTTTGTTGCAAGATTAATTTATGAAATTAATCTAGTTAGTTTGAAGCCTGTGGGATTCTTTTTGTCTTGATTTTGAAATTAAACTTGATATGGTTTAGAATCTCATTGTGAATATCCAGGACCAAATTGTTTGTTAATTGTTCAGTTATAATTAAGTCTTATTTCAGTTTGCTAATTATTTGTTAACTTTTAATATTGTTAAGTTTGGACATATAAGCTGATTTTTTTTTTTGTTCTTAGTTATATTCGCAGAAAATAGATAGCATCTATTCATTCTCAACTGAAATTTTGGATGGAGCAAATGTTGGAGAAGATAGTGCATGTGAAGTTGAAACTGAAGAGCCCGACTTGGAGCTGCTTGAATCGGGAATTGGTGAGCAGGTTGGGATACAATCTTCTAATGGTATGGTTGATGTTCTTGATAGTAAATTAGCCGTGGGTACAATTGTTAAAAGTATTGAAGATGATTATTTGTTCTATTGTCAATATGCACATGCTAAAGGATTTACCCTTAGAAAGACCTTTGATAGTTCATGTGCTGGTGTAAAAGATGAAAAAAGTTCTAGTAAAAAAATACCTATTTATCAAAAGCCAATAACTAGAACTTCATGTAAAGCACAACTCAAGATTAAGAGACCGAAAGGGGAGATTAAGAGCCACTGAAAATATGTATTTGCTGAATTTATTCGGATATCCATTTCCGCGTTCACCTCAAGTTTAAGAATAGTTTGATCTTATTGGTATTTTAGTTTTCTCATGGATAAAAGAAAATTGATGCAAATTCATGTATTTTTTTTTTCTATTGACAGGGCTCATCTCATAAGAGGCAGAACTAAATTTAAAGATTGGAGCATGTTTCATTGCAATATTTTGTAATCGGTCTATGTGCGAGATTTGTTAAGTAATTTGAATCATTGGACTTTGTCTATTTGTATTTTGTAATGTAGGTCTCTTTGCTTACCGATCTCTTCTTTCAGATCTAAGCCTCCAAATTGAAACCCTTCTATGACGAAATTCACTCAAATTCATGGTTTTCCAAATGAAACCCAGAAATATGCATTTGTGACGAGCCTCCACGAAATATGCCAGAAGTTATTATTCGTTTGAGTGAATAAGTTTTCCTTTTACTCGGAATTTTCGGATATTTCTGATTTGTTTGTAACTGAGAACTTTTGAGAATTCATCAGGTTTTGCATTTTTTTTAATATTTTTTTGATTGATTTTTTTTTGGATTTTTTTTTCTAATTTTGTAATTGGTTTTTTTTTTTTTTTTTTTGCTCTCTTCTTCTTCTTCTTTTTTTTTGAACTAAATAAACAAAAAAATGAAGTAAAAAAGATGGGGTGGGGAGAAGATGTAAGACGTGCAGAGGTGGGCACTGGGCACTCACTTGGGTTTGAGGGAGGTTTGCTTTTACAAACCTGGTTTGAAATTAAACGTCAAAGCTCTCTCTCCAGGGCAATTGCCGAAGAATTTTTTCCCTATTGCTTGTTCGGTAGAGTTTGTTGGATTTCACGATGCTGCTTTGAATTCAAATTCTTCTCGGGAGTTCAATGCTGGTTTATTCCCGTCCGATTTTTTCTGGGTTATCTGGCTATCGTATGGTTCTTTCTCGTGCTCCGGTTGATACTCTCTGTTCTCTTCATGGTAATTGTTCCCCAAATCTCAATCCGTTGAATTTTTTCAGTTTCTGTTTGTTTAGCCGCCATTATCTGCGTTTTCTTCTCTTCTCTCTGCAGGGCGATCTTGTTCTATGGAAGCTCGCAGTTCTCGTTTTTAAGGAGGTGGATGGTGGTTTCTTCCCTTGCCCTGCTCCGATTGATGCTGCATCTTTGCATGGTAAAGTGCAGAAGTTCCTTTTCCATTTCTTTTCAGAAGAAAGATCTTCAGAAAGTTCTTTAGATAAAATTTCTAATCCTTCAAAAGGTTGCTGTTATAGTTCTTGGATACTGCGTTTACTTCTTATTATCATTTAGATGCTGCGTTTCCTTGTTTTCTCTCTGCAGGGAGATTATGAAAAAAATAAATACTGTTTGTATTTTTTCCATGCATTCTTGTTCTAGATATAGTGTGAATTGCTGTTTGCCTCTATAAAGTTATTGATGGATGGAAATTTCGAATATTGAAATTAGATATCATCTACAATTGTGTATGGATTTTAAATGTTTTTATCGCCCTCATGGGATGAACTGTACATCTTTAGAATTTGGTCACGAAATAATGAGATAGTAGCCTAACTTGTGTTGTGATTTCGCTCTGGGAGCGACTGAATTGATTATGACTTGTGTAAATCTATAATGTTTGTAAAGAGTTTTCGCAAATGTGCAAAAGGAAGGGTCTAAATGCCAGAATTTTAGGCTAATATATCTGATTCACGCGCATCAATGAGATATGAGTTGAGGAGAATTTCTTACCTGCTATTCTTGATTTTTTCTAACTTCTATTAGTCTCATGAATGCTGAGGAATCATGAAGATTGGTCTGCTCAGCTGTTATGCTCAGTTTTCCTTTTTTGTTCTTTGAAGAATCGTTACAGGCAGCATTAGTAACTTGATCAACATCAAGGACCTCAAGGTTGGTGCAAAGAGGCAGCACGCAGTCCAATGACTCGTCCGATACGTTCGGGCACCAGTCCGTCCATTCGCAGACTCTTGAGACTCGTTTGACATGCCGCAAATGCCAAACTCTTTATGGCCTCATTGTTCACGTCCCGACACCAACCCACCACTAGCGTCTCGAGATTATTGCAGTATTCGCTGTGGCGTTTATCAACTCATCTCCAATCCTAAAGCAATCGAGTTGTTTGAGAGTCGATAGCCAGGAGTTACACGATTCGGCCATATCTAGACGAGTGCGAGCATATGTAAGAAGTCTGCAAATCGCAGCACGTATTGATCTCAGATTACGAGACCCGTTTGCAACGGATGATAAACCCTTATCACCCACCTTTTTGCAGTCGAAAATGTATCGAGAGACTCCAACAAAGGAAGCCCACGCCCAATTGCATCCATCCTTTTATCTGTTATACCTGCAGTGAAAACGAGTAATCTTTATAGATAACAGATTACCTTTAAGTTTGCTCAGCTTGTTTTCTGGTGATACCTTTAAGTTTTCAGCTTGTTAGTTGCTGCCTCTGCTGTTTCCCACCTGTTTTTGTTTTTAGTTTGGGATCAGTTGATCCCCAGGTTTTTTCGTGTTGTGAGATCTATTATGCCTACCTGTTTTTGTTTTTAGTTTGGGATCAGTTGATCCCAGGTTTTTTCGTGTTGTGAGATCTATTATGCCTTTCTTTGAAGAAAAACATATGCTAAGTGTTGATTTGAGTAAGGGAGATATTTTGACTATTAGGATGGCTCCATAACGGAGCCATCGGATGGTTCCATATCAGGACTGTTGACTATTATTGAGCTGATTGTTTGTTGAGGATTGATGTTATTAAGATGCATTCGAGGATAATGAGTTAACAAGGGGTCCTTATCAAATTTAATCCATACTCAAAATTTAATTTAATTCTACTATCTTTAATATTATTCATATAATTAAATAGTACAAACTAATTATTTTTATATATTATATTAACTTTAATTTACTATTCATTAACTCATATGATTTTAACTATTGTTTCACATAATATCTCTCATATTTTTATATTAAATTAAATTATTATTTTAATATAAATTCAAAACATTATTAACAAATACTCATATCACCTTTTTAAAAAGACTCCTTCACAAATATACCGTAGCTAAAGCTAAATAATTGTACATTTACACTTGTAAATTTATTTGCATATTTACGAAAGATAAAGATAAAGTAAATAATTAGGGATACACTCTTCAAGCCCAAGCTAAATAATTGTACATTTACACACTTGTAAATTTATTTGCATATTTACGAAAGATAAAGTAAATAATTAGGGATACACTCTTCAAGCCCAACGCAACTTGAAATTTCTTAGGCTAAATAATTGTACATTTACACACTTGTAAATTTATTTGCATATTTACGAAAGATAAAGTAAATAATTAGGGATACACTCTTCAAGCCCAACGCAACTTGAAACTTCTTAGGCTAAATAATTGTACATTTACACACTTGTAAATTTATTTGCATATTTACGAAAGATAAAGTAAATAATTAGAGATACACTCCTCAAGCCCACACGCAACTTGAAACTTCTGGTAATTCAGTAGTCGATGCCCCTCACAATCGTGGTCGGTCAAAAACTTGTGCCTCAGGCAAATTTTAACCCACAATTCTCACATGTGTGTTTTTTTCTTTTTTTTTTTTTATTTTTTTTTTATTTTTTTTTATTTTGAGAACGTTAACACCCGCCAGCACCTCGAGACAATGCAAGTCGGTTTCTTCTTCCTTGAGTTGCGTTGACCCGACTTTTCATCCTCTCTGAAACCTTATTCTCGTCCCGTGGTCTTGACTGCGGAGGAGCAGATCTTGCACACCCGAACCTTCTGGTTGCCAGCGTCGGAGTTGGGATAGTCGTGCGATTAGTGCGATCAAATTAATTATATATATACAGGCATCGATGAGAACTCAATCTAGTTCAAAATTAAACCTAGCCCCAGTAATTGTATGCATATGTATATATAGATATCGTATAGATAAAAATATTTTCGACGATTGAAGTAGTTTTGCTAATAAAATATTTTCAAAATATATATGTAATATTTTATGATGTGGTTGGTTCATGGGGTAATTCTCTCTTTTAAAAAATAACACTATCACCTTTTTAAAAAACAACCCTCCTTAATAAAAAAAATCATTTTGAGCGAATTAATTTGTAAACAAGCACACCCGTAACAATTTGAACTAGTTATCAAGTATCAACTCGTGTATTTCTACGTAAAGTGATATATTAGAGTAGTAAGTAATGAGAAAGCGATATATTAGAGGAGTGTTAGTTTAGAGGAGTAAGTAATAAATATATACAAACAAATTAAAAACTATAGCTTTAATCAATGAAAAAAATGAGTTTAAAAAAAAAATCTTAATATTACTAAACACTTGTTTGTATACAACATTTGATGTATTTTTATCGTCAGAATACTTACACCACAAATTATTATCTTTGAATCCCTCCGATTTGTTCTTTGAAGTGCCGAACTTCAAGTGCAATTTATGATTTGAAAGTCCCGAGCGTGCAAGTAAATTGACAGCTGCTTAAAAATTTAATCAATATAACATTTGTCATTAAATTCAAACTTTATATTACATAAAACTAAAGAAAATAATAACTTACCTCAACTCATCAAGTAGCACTTCAATGAATCGCTTTTCAACACCCTCCGACATTGTGGTTTGCACGTTTTGGTAAGACATGATGCCATCAATTATGTCTACAAATTAAAAGGGTAAAAAATTAATTAATATGTTCGAAATATTTAAAATATAATATTTTTTAATTTAATAAGTAATCTTACTAATAAGTAAAGTTGGGACGGCCCTGTTGTCATGGCTCAATTCATCGAAATTTTTGGAATTGAGACGTACCTTGGGAAGAAATTGCCTCCAACTTCAAGCAAGTGTGTGCTTTGATAGAATAAAACTTTACAATAATTCGATACAATTTTATAAATGTTGTAATCGCGTATTTTTTTTAACCATGTTAATTCATAAAGATTGTCTTCCACTAAATTTATTTTTTCAATTTTTTGCAGCAAGCTTATAGGTGTTGTGGCATGATAATGACTGGAGTTACCAAAAATTTTTTAGATCCAAAAACTTTGACCGACAAATTGACTGTCTTTCCTGTGAAATTTTCGCATGAAATTTTAAGAGGAGAACGAGCACGAGAATTGCGTTGGTGTAAAAAATTTTTTGATTGGAGAACTTTGATCAACGGCCGGCGGCGGCCAGTGAAGGTGGACTACTGTAGTTTCTCCTCGATGAGAGGATTCCAATGGTGCTCTCTGATTTTTTATATCCTTCACAGATCGTCGGAAAAATGTATTTGAAGGTCGGATGTTGACCAAAATGTTTTAGATCTACAAAGTATGAGTTTTGTCCTGAAATTTTAAGGGGAGAATCACCTCGATCAAATCTACCTGGTGACGTAAAAAAATTTCGTTGGGCATTTGACGCCTAAGTCAGAACTCGCTCCAAATCAAGAGTGCATAATGGTATGGGCTTGGCCTATACCATTATGCCATGTGTTCTAGCCCATATGTGAACTTATTCTCCAATATATTTCTTATAATCCATTATCACTGTACAAGTACAGACTTGGAGCAAAAACTCCAAATACGAAGAACCACAAAACTGTGGCCTAGACAATACGAAACTAAACAACATAGTTAAAGGCAGTCCAAACCAAATGAATCCTTCAACTACCAACCCACGAGAGATGCAAATAAACGAAGGGAACATAGCCTAACTAATAAAATTGGCCCAATTTTGAATCTCAGTTGTTCACATGGAGTCAATATTAATTGGACCGGCCCATACTGACAAAAGCTGACCCAAATGATCGAATATTATCGGTCAATGGTGTAGCCTGAGTCCTGACCAGGGATAGAACAAAATGATGATGATAATAAGACTAATATTTTTAATAACGTCTAATTTTAACATAAAACATATGAACATCGTTAATTGTATAGTAAAATAGATAGAGAAATTAGTGAAGTTGAACCACAAAATACATAATCTTTGAACTTTAAAATATTAATTTGTGTGTGATATATTTTCAATATTCTTTTTAACTCACAAAACCGAAAACTCATCATATATTTGATTTAGTGTTAATAATTTTTGTAATTTCCTTTCAACTCAACTCCATGAAATTGCATGTTTAAATTCATCTATGATAGGGACAACACCTATATAGAATTAAATAATTGATTCCAAAGTGGAATATGCCTACACATGCTACACTCGATTCACATATTTTCTCGCATTCGATTTATAATAATGAAAAATTATTCTTTACAACACTTGAAAGATTCTATCTCTAATCCACGTAAACTACTGGAAATAAGTTTTTTTTTTTTTTGGTTAAAGTGAGTTAATTTTTTAAAAGAAAATCAATTGACTAGTGATTTGAGTTTTGATATAAAGTTAATGTAATGTAAAACACTAAAAAAAATGACATGTTCCATCGAAAAATTCAACGGTGATATATTCTATTAAAAAATTCACCTATCAGACTAGAAAACATTTTAACTCAAAATCTAACTTTAGTCAAAATTCAACTGAAAATTCAATGAATTTTAACTTAAAATCAAACTTGACTCCCACTATCCTCAATATTATCAATATAATTAAATAATATCAATTATCTCTCTCCTAAATCACACCAATTTTAATTCACTATTCATCCACTCACATATTTTTAATTACATATCATTTTCATCATCTTTCTCCTACTTTTACATCTTATCAACATTATCATTATATTTTAAATATTATTTAATTAGAATATTTCTCATCATAGTCAATCAACTTTATTCAAACAACTCACTTTTAACTTATGATCCAATTTTAATTGATTTTAACTAGTTATGACGGTTTATCAATCACTACCTAAGTTAGCCAACCGGCCAAGTAAACAACACATGCTTAAGCTTCCTCCATAATAATTAATAAGGATATATTGTAAGAAATTTAACGGGTATATTCACAACTATTAGGCGGAATTGAATAAACCCTAAACATGTAATTCTATCAATTCATAGAATATGGATTGTTTGCATAAATTAAATTGCACATAGAACTTACAAGAATCCAGCTTATAGTCGCCTTTGCCTATGAATTGTGAATTGTTTCTCTCTCCCACGTCTCTCGTCTTTTCATAAAGACCTTGATGTTGAGAACTTTATTTTCGTATGAGATGAGAGAGAGGGGCATGTAGTATATATAGGAGGAGTCCTACAAACCTATTCCTACTAACATTCCCCATGTTCTAACCTAACTTATTGTCCAAGTCAAACATCACAAATTGAACTCTTTAATATTAGAACATTAAATAATCCATTAAATACATATTCACCTTAAATAAGTTTGACTATTAATTCAATTAGGTCCAATTAATTATATGGTCCACAATAATAGAATAATATATAAAATATTATTACATATATTATATGATCATTCATTTTATTTTCTTAATTCGAATAGCAAGAGTTGTAAAGTTCAATTACTATCAAATGAGAGGGTACTTGCAGCTGTGGTTAAGATTGAAAATGCAGTTAAAATTATACCATAGCAATAATTTTGATGACAGGACACAGGTTACATTCATCCTAATTAAGCTTGACCTACGAAAGTGACTTGTAACGCCACAAACAATCAATCATTAAAGTGTTTGAGGCAAAAGAAAAGGAAGTGCTGTACCATAATTATTAATGGAGTACGAAATCTCCACCTGAAATATCTAGTTGAAATTTAGATTTGAGAAAACTATCACTTTTTTTTAAACGCTGTTTACATATCATGCATGGGCTTAAAGCCTTTTCCGTTAAACGTCACTACATGTAAGTTGTAACTGCATTAGTTGAGTGACGAAAATGAATTTGTGAAGAATGATTTTGTTGAATTTGGTCACAAAACTAATTATATTAGTAGTTAATAAATACATGTAAAAGAAGTGGTCTCGCCTATTCTTTTTAATCAAATTCCAATAGAAAGAAGTAATTGTTCTCCTAAGATGGTTGCCAAACTGCTTGTGTGATTTTGATTAGCCTATAAGACTGCTAAATTTAGGGAACAGTTTTTGGGAAAGTTTTGTTGATCGCGAGGGATGTTTGGTTATCGAGCGTTGTCCGGAATTTGGCATGTCTCGATACCTGTCTCGTTTATGAATTGGTCCGGGACAAGACACCTTCGCAAATGGGCCAGTATCATTCAGAATTGGGATAAAACGGTTCAGGACCAAAACAAAGCGAGACAATAATAATAATAATAATAATAATAATAATAATAATAATAATAATAATAATAATAATAATAATAATTGTTTCAAGTAGAAAATTAAAACTGTAAATTAAGATCATCAAATAAATATTTACTTTGGTTGCCTAATAAGAGAATCATCAAGATTTGTCTAACACTTGTCAAATTTATATTTTATGTGTTAAATTTATATTTTACACAAACATATATATATATATATATATATTATATATATAAAAAGTCATGCAAGGCAATAACTTTCAGTTTTGAACTCAGTCATTTCTCTAAATTAAACTAGTACGTAACTCGTGCGATACAGAGACATAATTAGTATTAAATGAGTCATTTTCACAAAGTTTTTCCGTTAAGTAGCTCGTGTGATTTACGGAAGATATTAAATGAGTGGGACCATAGGGCTTGTCAGTTCAGACTAAAAAATAATAGAGTTTGATTATCTATTTTTTTACTTCTTTCATCAACGTCATTTTTTTTTGTCGGGACATTAAACCTAAACCTGGTAGCGCTAGCCCGTAAATTAATTAATATATTATCTCGCTCACATGTTTATAATAATATAAATTTGATTTCATTATATATATTTATTCATTGATATAAGAAAAATAACAATTTTGCGTCCTCGAGCTTGTAACGCACCTTTTTCTGTTTGAGTCTTATTCATCGTATAATACTTATATTATTTTATATAAAATTTATTGTAATATAATGTCATATTATTATTTATACAAGTTATAGATGTAGTCTTCTTCTTCGTTTTGTTTATGTAATTAAAATATTTAATGTATGTTAATATTATTTATTAATGTAATTAATTTAAATTATGTAAATAAATTTAAAGTAAAATATTTTGTACAAACATTTTACAAAATATACACAAACGTTTTTCTAGAATTTATTTTTTTTATAATAAATAAACATCTTTGAAATTCTATGCAATTATTAAACATCCTCGATATAAATTCGAAATCATACTTGAATTCTATACAATTATTAATTCCGTACGATGTTAAAATTTAACAAAATGATAAGGAATTTTAAAATTTAAAAATGAGACATGTTTTTACTTGAATTCTATGCAAATATTATTTTGTCCGATTTTATGGCAAACAATTCATTCAGGATTTTAATGTAACAAAATGATAAGAAACTTTAAGATTTAAATTTAAATTTGAAATGAGACATGTTTTTACTTGGAGTCTATTTGCTCGATTTAATTGCAAAACACATCAATTAAGGATGGAATTAATGCAGACCGATTTTTAGCTATAAAATAATAATACAATTGGAAAAATGATAGAAATAAAATGCATTAATTATCCTTTGACTTTTTTTTCTACTAAATTTAGTAAATAGGATAACTTATTATATAAGTATAGATTTCTTAAAAGTTCAAACTAGATATAATTAGATATATAGCTTAATGCAACTTACTACAGATATATCAAGGGGCCAAGCTCAGCACTATATAATATATGAAAGAATTTAACTTACTGATCGACGAGACAATGAACTTGAAACTGGAACTCTGATAGATATCATATATTTGTTACCTAACCTTCATCGATGATATATTTCATAGTTAGGATCAATTATTAAAATAATCATAGTCGACAAATTGTTAATTGTGTAATTACTATAATACTAATATAAATGTTGAAAGAGTATATTTTTTGCATAAGTTCAAAAAACAAATATATTGAAAATATGTTCCTACAAGCACACGGAACTTATAAAAAGGAAGTTCTTTTATTTATATTTGATTATATCCGGTTCATATTATATTTGAGATTGCATGATCTTATTTTGGTATTATTTTGTAGGAAATCTTTGTGCATGGCAGATGGAGGAAAAACGCGTGGTTGCATGAAGGAGATCTAGAGGAAATCAAGGAAGATTCAATAAAGATCTCTTTCCATGTTTATACACTATTTTTGGAAGAAAATCAAAAGGGATAATGAAGGAAGGAAACAACTTGGAGAAGACTCCATGACCAATGGAGTTGTATATATACTCTACTTGAAGATCGAATTAAGGCTGCTGACATCTTCATTATTCACGCAATATTCGAGCTTCAAGTCTTTCTATACGTTTTAGTTCGTGGTTCAGTTTTCGGTGTTCTTACATATCGAAGAACTGAAGTCTTTTGTTTTCTTTTCTTTGTATTGATTCAAATATTATTGTGTTCAGCACTTAGGGATTAAGTGTTAGTTAGAAGTCCACGGGACGTGACCAAAGAAGTAGTTGGTGGATTCGAGTATAGTTGTTGGTTAGACTAGAGGGGAGTCTAATTGCTGTAATTCCAAAACTATACACATGTGCACGATCAAGTTATCAATGAGGGGAAGTGGGACGCTTCCTTGAAGATTTTTTAAATCTTCGATTTATTGCTTCCGTTATTTTAATTATTTATCTGTGTTCTAACATCGTTAAGCGTATTCTCGTAAAATATAAACGTTTCAATTGGTATCAGAGCAGTGTTCTTGTTCTACTTACGGGATAAAGATCTTGGTTCTTTGGGTTAGTCATCATGAATCACGATGGTATGTTTGTTTCACGCCCTCCGTTCCTAGATGGTTCGAACTATGGATACTGAAAATCCATGATGATTATCTTTCTTCGTTCTCTGGGAAAAGGAACCTGACAAGTCATTGAGTCAGGTTGGTCTATACCACTCATGCCGAAAGCTCCTTTTTAATCGAAGACAGGTGAGTCCTCGGAATTAAAGTCGTCAACCTCGACTGGTCTTGTTCTAGTTGAGAAACCAAAGGATCTTTGGACCGATATAATTCTCTCGAAGAAAATGTTAATATTGCTATAAATAATACAAAAAACAATATCAAATATTAAACTAAAATCTTTATAATGAGTTATTACTTTGATTTAGGGGTTTGATGTGTTTATGGTTCTAGACATTAATTGATTGATAGTATATTTAGTAACATCTTTTGTTTATGGTTTCAATAAATTACTTTTTTTTTATTATTATTTTGTGATTACAAAATATATCAATATAATTAAATAATATTAATCAATCATTTTTACACATCACATCATTTTAATTATTTTATTTAATTCATTGTTCATCCATTCACATAATTTTAACTTATCATCACTTTCAATCATTTTTCTTCTACTTTACATCAAATCAACTTTAATTATTTTATTTAAATATTATTTTAATATATCTACTTAACCATGCCACATTTTTTTAAATTAACTATAATTAAAAAACAAACTAAATAAAAACTAATTGAATCCATAAACAATAACCGAATAATTGCATTTACACTTATATATAGCGGGATTTGATGTTGTGGGTAAATTAAGTTAGATTAAAAAACAAAATAATACGGTAGAATTGTAATGGCAACAGTGGTACTCTTTTCTCAGGTTTAAGGAAAACAGTAATGCGAAGGAGCCAACTATTGGCTCCGTTACGGAGCCAACAGCCAATGAGATAACTCCATGTGGGGCTGTCCCACATTGGAGCTATGTGGGACAGCCTCACATGGAGTTGTCCCATTTGCTGTTGGCTCCATAACGGAGCCAACAGCTGGCTCCTTAGCATTATTGTTAAGGGAAAAACCAATTGAAGAAAATCTCACATACAATGTCAAATTCCAATTCCGGATAAAAATTGTTGGAACAGTAGCAAAAAATTAAGGGCTTGATTGTTTATGAATTATTTTATTCCCATTTATTTCATACTCAAAATCTAACTTAACTTTAACTCAACCTCACTATCTTTAATATTATTCATATAATTAAATAATACAAACCAATCATTCTTACACATAACATCAACTTCAATTCACTATTCATCTACTCACATAATTTTAACTATCAATCATTTCCAATCATTTATCTCTTATTTTTACATCAATTTTAATTATTTTATTTTAAATATTATTATAATACATTCTTAAAATTCCACTAACAATTAACCATACCACCTTTTCAAATTTAACTATGGTTAACCAAAATAATTCATTTTGAACAAATTATTTCATAAACAATCACCCCCTCAATTAGTGTCTCAGCACATCTTATAACAAACTATAATAGCAAATGTGACATTTTATTAAAGGGTTAATTGCAATTAAAAACCCAACCTTTACTAAAATCATAAATAAAACTCCACTTTTTCAATTTGGCATAAAAATATCTGGCCTTTCAAAAGTTTTGCAATTATGTCTCGACAGAAGATTCTGGTGAATCGATGATGGGGTGGCATATCGGAAATCTGACATAGAAACAGAATATTGACGTGGCAAAACGTAAGAGTCCACGTCAAAGCCTATTAACAGATAATATTCCCAATCTCAGGCCCGATGAATCAGAAAAAAAAGGAATACTTGATCGGCCTCGACAAATTCTTTGGGAAAAACAGAATAGTCGGGAAACTCCCTAGCTGCAGTTCCCTCTGAGCAAACGCCTTCTCCTCCCCATCCGCCCTGAACTTCGCCACCTTCACCCCGGACCCCACCATCCTATCCGCCACCTCAGCATACGACTCCTCCATCCCTCTGCAAAACCTGCACCACCAACCACCCCTCCTTCCTATTATTATTCCCCAGCCTCAACAGATTCTCAATCCCGGGCCTGCTCAGGCCCACCACATTTTTCCTTTCGAAAAGATCCGCATGGCCCACAGTCCCGTTCGGCCCACTACCATTCCCATTCAAAATCAAATTCTCCTCCTTGTTGTTGCCCTTGTGGAGCCCGCACTCTTTAGCTTTCGCGTCCTCCCACCACCACCTACCCTCCCTCTCATGCTGACCTGGCAAGACGGGCCTCGTGCACGGCTCGCACCCGATCGAGACATATCCCTTGGAGTGCAACGAGTTGACGGGCACGTCCATGGCCCGCAAAAAGCTCCACACGTCGTTTCGCTTTGCGTTTGCCAACGGGTTCCACTTAACGAGGCTTGCGGGCCCACCGTCCAATCCCTCAAAAGCTGGGTCCACCTGGACGACTGGGATCTCGGAACGCGTGCCGGTGACTGGTCCTTGCGCTGGCCCGTTATCCAGGCGCGAAGGCCAGAGAGGGCCTGTTTAAGGGGACGGACTTTTCGGACGCGACAGCACTCCTGGTGGCCGCGTCGTAGAAGGAGAAGAGGCCTTTGGTTCGAACCAGTGCATGGCCCTCGGAAGCTTCCAGAAACATGTACTCGATGCGGATGTTGTAACGCTTTTCGACCGGCAGTGGTCACCCTGAAGAAATCTTGTCTCTTGAAACGTCCCAACAGACGGCAACTGGTATGAGATGATCTAAGCCTTGGGCGTCTCCGAGTACATAGTTGAACATGAACTCGAATGGGCAGCTGGTACGAGCTGCCCACGACGATTGTGTGGTTCTCATTGTCATCGGGCTGAGAGATCTTATACCCGGGCTTGTGGTAATTAGTCTGACGGTGGTGGGTCCTCAAGGCGGGACTTTTTAGCGCCGCGGGTCCGAGTTACCTCGGGATGTGAGCATGGGCAGGGGCGGAGCCACCCTAGTGCTAGGGTGGACATTATCTCTATGTATTTTTTTATGTAGCCCCATTTAATTTCGGGCTGAATGCCTCAAGATTTAGGTCGAATTTTTTATATGACAACAATGGAGGAAAAATGATGATCGCAGTGAGAGGAAAAAAGGATGATCCTTTATTGTCAAATGACAATTGTGTTCTTATTTGATTTTTATTAATTGAGTTTATAATATAGCCCAACACATTCTTGCTTTTTAATTTTTTTTTATGGGTTGACTTGACAAGTACCAAATGAGCTGGATAATTAAGTTTAATACACACTTCTCCTGTAGGCTATTTAATTTGGTTCGTCTTATTGCACAGTCTGTTATCCATTTTCATTTATTATTATTTTTTTTGTTGATTTCACATCCAATAATTAATTCGGCCTCATTTCCTAGACAAAGAAAAAACTCTTACAGAGTTGAGTGCAAACATGCTCCACTCTATTTGTTTGATCGACAAGTTCGATTAACAATTTGAGTTTGGCTTGTTTAAATATATAAGAGAGTCGAGATTGAGTTTTCCCAATTCAAACCGACATATGTTATCAGATAATTTGTTCTAGTCATGATCACCAAAACCGATTACAGGACGAAATTGCCGATGCCGGGCCAAGAGTTAGAGGACCCTGAACCGGCGCGAACATATGCACGAGCCGGTTCATTGAACTGTCAGTTCTTGGTCGTCTGGTTCATTAAAAAATAAAAAATAATTAAAAAATGATATATTTTTTTTAAAAAAGCCGAATCTTGGGTTATGGTTTCAGTTCGGAACCAAAGCTGCCGATTCAAAATGTATAAACTATAAAGTATTGTACATTAACCGAACTGGTCAAAACCACGGGCCGGTTCAAGACCTATTGTCAACGGGCTGGTTTGTGTCGATTCGTCCCGAACCGACAGGCTGGGTCGACCCATGACCATGTCTACTGATCAATTCCGATAATATGCACTCCGGGGTCAAAAAATTTTCTGGCTACGCCCCTGAGCATGGGTGGGTATTTGGGGACGGGGATTGATGACTTGGGAGGGGGGCAGGGTTGGTACAGGGCGGATTGGTGGGTAGGTTTGAGAAGAGGTCCAGATTGGGTAGTTTGCGAAAATCGCCATGAAAAATTGTTTGTTTGATAAGGTGAAAGCGGTGTTCAGATGCTTCGTTTTTAATTATTCAGTAACTCTCTAAATATATAGGTTCAATTACGTAGATGTGAAAATAAGTTTAGTATTTTTGCAAGTGAGTTGGGGAAGACGAGAAAAAAGCTACTTTGCAAGTCAAAGTGCTAGATTTTGGGGATGATGAGAATTTAGATTTCAAAATGACGCGAACCTAAGTTGAAATTTAATTATTTGAAATTAGGAGCAGGTTCGGTCCAGGTTCGGTCGGGAAAAAGGTGTGAGACATTATGGTGAGGTTAATAAGGGAACTTACTGCCAAAACCTACAAACCTACCTTTTTGGATTCTCAACGCGTCATATCAGCCAAAATCTCATATTCACTCTTATATTTACTAATCTAATATAATCATAAACCTAAAAAAAACCTTCAAAACCTTCCTATTAAAAAAATGTGAGAGGTTTACTATTAAAATATATAGGTTTGAGGTTTGAAAAAGGTAAAGTCGTGCTGCAATCACAAACCTCCTCAAAAGCTATGAGATTAAAAAAAAAATTAAAGATAAAGGGGAAAAAAATGCAGTATGCATCTTAACACTCTCATTTCAAATGCAATTGGTAATGTTTGGGAAAAAAGACACGCGATAAAAAGGCGTGAGAGAGACGTGCACCCATGTGACATTTTTTACATATGGGGCTCATAAAATTTGTTTTCGAGGTTTATGATTATATTAGATTTGTAGATGTAATGTTTTAGCTGATGTGGCGTGTTGGGAATCCGAAAAAAAAAAAAATTGGTTTGTGGGTTTTGCTAGCAAAGTTGTCCTTAAATATTCTTGTTGATATTAGTTATTATGTGACATTGATGAATATTTCATACAAACATAATAGTTATAACTACAAGTATATAAAAGTCTTAATAAGTTTAAAAAAGTTCATTATGAAAGTTTTAAAAAATCTATAATAAGAATTTATGAAAGTCTCAAAAAGTTTACCAAAGTCATGAAAGTTTTACAAAGTCCACCAAAATCACCCAATTTAAAAAGTTTTAAAAAATCCTTAAAAATCTCAATTGAATACACCCCTACATATAATAACATGATATACAACTTTTTAATAAAATTAAATTACATAAATTCATTAAAACATATATATATATGTATAAGTTTTCATTGTTTTTATCTATTTTAAGTTTTCATCTAGTTAGTTGTTGCCTTTACGTTTTCAACTTGTTAGTTGCTGCCTCTGCTGTTTCCCACTTGTTTTTGTTTTTAGTTTGGGATCAGTTGAAGCCCAGGGTTTTTCGTGTTATGAGATCTATTCTGCCTTTCTATGAAGAAAAACATTTGCTAAGTGTTGATTTTAGTAAGGGAGATATGTTGAGATCTATTCTGCCTTTCTATGAAGAAAAACATATGCTAAGTGTTGATTTTAGTAAGGGAGATATGTTGATGGATTCTAGGATAATGAGTTGACTAAGGGCTCTTTTCAAATTTAATCCATACTCAAAATTTAATTCAATTTTAATATAATTCCACTATCTTTAATTTTATTCATATAATTAAATAATACAAACTAATTATTTTTACACATTACATTAACTTTAATTATTTTTGCTTGTGAGAAAGAAAAGAGGTACAAACATTGATATTGAAACTTTAGAATGGGCACTATATTTGAGTATATAAACAATATATTTTCAGTTTATAGATATTTTATATTTTGTCTATTGAATAATTTTTATAGATACATATGATATGATTTTTTCAATGTTTATTTGAGGATTATTCATAATTTATTGATCATGATGTTTTTCAACATTCATCCATACTAATCTGAATATATTTCATTGTTTATACATTGATTACAAAAAAATTATACACGTACATATTAAGTATATAACACGATTATATTATGTATATGTGCATGAATGATATACTATGTAGGTGTTTTCTAGACTGTATATGTGATGTTTATATATTGTATATATTTCCAGCCTTAGTTCATCAAAATGGTTTGATTTCAACACATACAAAAAAATACATTAAACTAGAAAAATATACTATAAATATACAGAAAAAACTCGAGATGTAAATAACATAAAAAGTAAACAAAAAACAGAGTTTCGACAAAAAAATACCAGGTTTATTTCGTATATATTACGGTTTTAGATCAACAAGATAAAATGATATTCTAAAACTATATCTTTTTTAGTTTTGAATTGAACAACATCCTAGATATTAGGATATATACACTTCTCATATCTTTTGACATTTTTTTTTATGCAATCTCCTCATCCATAACGCACGCAATTTAATGAGAGTTACCATATCTTTTGACATTTTTTTATGCTTTCTACTCATACATAACATCCACAATTTAAGGATAGTACTAGTATTTGATCCTGTGCATTTGCACAGATGTAAATAAAGTATTATAAGTTATTTGTATGCATATAATATTAAAATTATAAGTTAGATAATAATATTATATTTTAAACATAAGGTATTATAAGTTATATTTATGCAGATGATATTAAAATTATAAGTTAGATAAAGGTATTATATTTTACAATTTGATCATTGGTTAAAATAAATAGTACATAACGATTTTATTGTATATGAATCGCTATATTGATTGCATAAAATAAAATAAATATTATATTTTTTGAAATTTTAAGGGACTATAACTAATTAATTAGCTAAAAAATATTAAATTTATTATAACAATTGCTTATGCGATTTTAAGAAATTTTACTATGCCATTAAAAAAATTAATTCATTTAAAAAATAATCGTTTAAGCAGATAAAGAAATATTATATTGATTTTATAATAAATTACTCGAACAAAAAGTTTTTACAATATAGTTTTTATGTAACTTTCACATATCATTTAGTGTAAAATATAATTATTAATTGTAATAATAACTATTATATGATACCATTTCCAGAGGTGGTGAAATTATTTTGTATTGTTGTTAGTGTATTTGTCCATGTTGTACATGTGCTGTATTTTCCATTTTCACCATGATTAATTATTGTAGTGATATCATAAAAAACAATAGATATTTCAAATAAACATTTATAAAAAGTTTTTTTTAAAAACTTATATTCTGAATACATGCTTATGTAATCATGAGTTTCTATAATAAATAATTCGTAATTAAGTTAGCATAGTAATGATTATATAATAAATTAAAAAAGTAAGCATTTTTAGCTAATTAACCTAAATTGATATACTTAGATAAAATAGTGGTCATTAGTTTATATTTTGTAACTGTCCAAAATTGATGTATTTTGTAAAAGTAAAGGTTTTTGTATTTGGAAAGTTTGTATTATTTATTAGGTAAAATATATTAGTTTTTATTTATGAGGTAAAATTAAATGAAAAGCTAGCAATTATATATATATATATATATATATATATATATATATAGATATCTTTATAGTTTTGGTAACTGATATATTGCATTATCACAAACAAATGTGTCATTGGTAAGAAGTCAATAAAAAATTGTCCTTTCGTAGTAGTGCAATTAATTGCATATGGCTGTGTAGATATAAAATTTTCCCTTAATCTTTTTACTGTTAAGAAAAAAAATGAAAGAATGAAATCAAAGCCTCACATTTTTTCAGCTATGCTATTGTCATATCCATTTTTGTATGTTTTTTCCAATTATAGTCCTACAAATAGGATCAGAAGCATAAAAAAATATTTTGTTCTTATTTTTTATATTTTACATCAGTTATTTATAGTTTTTATTTCATTACGATTAGTTATTTAGTTAAATTTAACCTTTCTGGGTGTTATTTTATGTTTGCCGATGAGGGTTAAGTCAGGCTGTAAATTAATTTATTTAGATTGTTGCTCAAGATTTGTCTCATTTAGTTTTTGGTTGCTGATTTTCGAGTGGGGATGTTGATAGTGTTACTTTGAAATATTTGTATTGAAACAACATATGTATTGAGTATATCTTCTATATTCAAATTTCCAGTAAGTGTTTATCATTGAACACATGATTATGACTTGAGATCCTAAATGATGGGTTGGAATGAAATTGAAAAACTTAGGAATCTAATATGAATCATGTTGTTATTTTATTTTTTTTATATAATTCTCTCGAAGAAAAAATTGTTAATGTTGCTATAAATAATACAAAAACAATATAAGATATTAAACTAAAATCTTTATAATGATTTATTACCACATTACTTTGATTTAGGGGTTTGATGTGTTTATGGTTCTAGACATTAATTGATTGATACTATATTTATTATTTAGTGACATCTTTTGTTTATGGTTTCAATAAAATACTTTTTTTTATTATTTTGTGATTACAAAATAATATTGTTAATTCATTTTTCTAAATTGTTATATATTTTTTTTTCAACCTCAACAAAATATATAAATATTTTTTTATTTTTTATTGTATATTTAATATTTTATCAAACATCATTTTAGTACGAGTTTATTGTACTAGTTCAATTTAATAAAGTGAAACCACCATTTTATTTTTTCTTTTCTTTTGCACCCCATTTAAGTAAAAAAAAAAAAATCTATAGGCCATATATGCACAAAAATCTATGTTAATTACCATGGTATTTAATTGTATTGTATTTATTAAACAACAAATCGAATGGTAATTATATTTTACCAATAACATTTATCAAAGGGCAATGTTACTTGTATAATTCTAGTTGACAACATTAGTTGACAACACTAGTTATCACACTCATGAGTCAATTCTTAACCATACATTTATTTGTATCTCAACTATCTACATCATCATGTTGTCAGAAAATGTTGTACAAAATAATTGTACAAGTAGCATTTTTCTTTATTTCAAATTATCAACCTAATACTTCCTCCATTTACTTCTAATTGACGTTTTAGTTTTTATGTGGTAATTAGTTGGTCTTTCCTACAAATTTTTACCTGTAGGAAGGAGTATATCTAAGAAGTCTAATCAGAGGAGAAGCTCGGTGCTTAGAGTCATGAGCTCGGCAGGAAGGAGTTATGAGCTGAGGATAGCGGGGGTTGCAGCGTGGTGACCATGAGGTGAGCTCGGCGGGATAGGAGGCGGTACTGAACTTACAACCGAGCTAATGTGGAGAAAGGTTGGTTGTTCTAGCGTGGCGATTCCGTGTGTGATATAACATCATGGTAGCTCGGCCGGTTTGTCGTTGTAATGGATTAAGCTCGATGGATCATAGGTGAGCTTGGCAGTGTGAGTCATAAGGCCCTTAGGTCGAACTGAGGGCAATACCTTGGCAGGACATGTCTGCGTACGATGCAGAGATCTCTTCCTGCTTTAAAGAAGATGGGGTTAATTGGGACTCCGGAGTTTGGATAAGGTGTATGTTGCTAAAAGACGGGTTCAGAAGGGATTCTAGTCATCATCGGACTCAGGGCAATTTGAGCGGTTCAGGGAAATATGACATATCAGTGTTGATGTATGATATTTGCTTTGGTTTTATAAAACAGTATGCAAACACTTGGAGACTATGCAAAGCAATACACTACATATGGGGTTTCAGCTAGATATCAAATTGATGGAGAAACATACCATCATGCCAACTACATTTTTGTTTTTAGTTTATTTTAGCCCTTTCCTCATTTGTGAGTTCATTTTCAGTAATGATATTAATAACAATATAATTATTTTGTATGTTGTATAGTTGATTATAAAGCATTTGGCCGAGGAGATGGAGAAGAAGAATGGTGCCCTAGAGGACGTGGACGAGCACGCCCTTAATAAATTGACTCCCATATACAAACGAGGGAGTAGGTAGAAGAAATCCGTTGACTTGGGGGGAGATTGACTTTGTAAGTATTCAATGATTCCATTTCATTAATATGACAACTTATTCCTCCAAAAATGTATGAATTTCTACAACTCAATACATAGATATTGTTGGAGTAGTGGATGACCTAACACCACACCAAAACACCAAACAAAAGAAACACGAAAACTCGTCGAGTTGGGAGGAGAGAACGCTAAAACCTACGACAAGAGTAGCTAAACATGGAGAAAACACAGAGACATGAACCTCAACAACACACACACTACTTGCACACACTCTTCATTGAAAAGCATTCACAAAGGCCAACAACGACTCCACGCCCCTCTTCTCCGATGAATACTTGATCGGCCTCGACAAATTCTTCGGGAAAAACAGAATAGTCGGGAAACTCCCGAGCTGCAGCTCCCTCTGAGCAAACGCCTTCTCCTCCCCATCCGCCCTGAACTTCGCCACCTTCACCCCTGACCCCACCATCCTATCCGCCACCTCAGCATACGACTCCTCCATCCCTTTGCAAAACCCGCACCAGGGAGCATACAGCACCACCAACCATCCCTCCTTCCTATTATTCCCCAGCCTCAGCAGATTCTCAATCCCGGGCCTGCTCAGGCCCACCACATTTTTCCTTTCGAAAAGATCCGCATGGCCCGCAGTCCCGTTCGGCCCACTACCATTCCCATTCAAAATCAAATTCTCCTCCTTTATGTTGCCCTTGTGGAGCCCGCACTCCTTGGCTTTCGCGTCCTCCCACCACCACCTACCCTCCCTCTCATGCTGACCTGGCAAAACGGGCCTCGTGCACGGCTCGCACCCGATCGAGACATATCCCTTCGAGTGCAACGAGTTGACGGGCACGTCCATGGCCCGCAAAAAGCTCCACACGTCGTTTCCCTTTGCGTTCGCCAACGGGTTCCACTTGACGAGGCTTCCGTCCAATCCTTCAAAGGCTGGGTCCACCTGGACGACTGGGATCTCGGAACGCGTGCCGGGTGACTGGTCCTTGCGCTGGCCCGTTATCCAGGCGCGAAGGCCCGAGAGAACCCGTTTAAGGGGACGGACTTTTCGGACGCGGCAGCACTCCTGGTGGCCGTCCTCGTAGAAGGAGAAGAGGCCTTTGGTTCGGACCAGTGCCTGGACCTCGGAAGCTTCCGGAAACATGTACTCGATGCGGATGTTGTAACGCTTTTCGACCTCGTCGAAGAATTTGTATGTCTCGGGGTTTAAGCGGCCGGTGTCCAGGCTGAAGACCCTGAACGGGCGGCCGGTCAGATGGGCGTACTCGATCAGAGCAACATCTTCTGCCCCACTGCAAAATTCGGATTTTTTTTTTCTTTCAGTGACTTCAAATATAGACTTCTGACCACTTTAATCAAAATCATAAGTAGTGTTTTCAAGGTTTATACTCAACTCTCCAACCACTCATATTACTGTAACATAAAGGGAAATTCACAAATTGCAGATTCGAAAGACCACTAAAATGGCTCTCAGAGAGATTTAATGGCGCATTATTTTTCAGAAGAAAGGCAACTGAACCAATAAAAAACTGCAGGACACAGTCAATTACATCAATTATTAATATCAACAAGAATAGAGACCAATTACTATCTTAAAAGGGTAGATTCATTAACAATTTGAAGCTACGAAGTTCAAAGCTCATCAGTTCAAGCAGAATTTAATTGAAAGAAAACAAAAATAGCTTGAAAAATTACCTAAAAGCAATGGCGATGTCATCTCCAAATTTCTCAAGGGCCCTGTCCATGATCTCAAGTGGCGATGCGTTTTCCAGCTCCTTTGCCAATTTCTCGTAATCTTCCTCCTCCACCACTTTCCCGACAACCTCTGCTAACAACAAATCATCATTCAGAGAGGGCAATCCTTTCAATTTGTGCTAAAAATTCACATGCACAGAGATAATGAGAGAAAAAAACTGATTCCCACGTACCAGGAGCATACAAGGTCGCCGCTGAAGGAACAATTGAGTCGTTCCTCTTCGGCTCGGCATTCAACGGCCTCACGGCGCAACGCCGCCGGGAGAAATTCAGGGACATCGGTGAGACACGTGGCCAATCCAACACCTGGGACGCGCCGAATTGTGCGCCTGTAATAAAATTTAGGACAGAAATAAACTGTCAGACACGAAGCTCAAACGAAGAAATGAATTAGGCAAAATAAAGATAAAGATCGCACCTTTGGTTCGCTCAATGGCGGCGGACAAGGAAGAGCTATGAACAGCAGATGAAGAGGAAATAGCTAATGCCATTGATGTTTCTCTCGTTCGCGCAGTAACCTTAAATTTCACGGTAAGCTGAAGAAAAAAATGGTGTGTTGAATTTTGGGTTTTTGTAGATTTCAGAGAATGGTTTGTATCGTTTGCCGTGGCGATGGCCGATGCAAGAATTTTTATACATGGGGGAATGGGGGAAAATCAAGTTCGAGACGAAGGCCGCTGCAGGTTCATTGAATTTGGACGTGTTTCGGGTTTTACCGTTTTGGCACGTGGCAACGTTCTATTGGATGTGTGTTATTGTGGCTCGGTCAGCACAATCGTCATGTGGCCGTGGCGGCCGAGAAGAGTGGGGAAAGTCGTGTGTGGCAAACGATACCCACAAAATGAATTTCGAAATGACGCTTCTTGGCAATTCATTTTCTAATTTCGAATCATGTTTTATTTTTTAATTTTTACTTTTTGTTCTTTTGTCATTTGTGGTGGGGAATCTAGATTTTGTGCTAATTATTGGTACCGCAAAAATGATACCAAGACAGCAAGACTTTCAACTTTTGGGCGAATCGGTGTAAGTAGACTGTAAACGAGCCGAGTCAAGTCGAGTAGAATTATTTTTTTTTTACCTGCTCAAGTTCGAGTTCGACTCGATAAAAAAACACAATCGCTCAAACTCAACTCGAAATCAAAATGCACGAGCTCGATTCAAAAAATTTTAAGTGGAAAAATAAAATTATCATTAAGCATCTATATTATACTATTATAATGTATATAAGGGGTATTTTAGTAATTCAACATATATCTCGAGCAATTCGATAAGCAAATATGTTAAACATAATAATTAGCCAATTGCTTCTAACGGCATATCAACCACATTAGTCTTTTTTATGTTTTAACATATTATACTTTCTCATATTCTTTTTAAATGTTATTTTGTGCTTTAACACATAAATTTTAAAAAAAAATAATTGCCAATGTTAACCCTATTTAAAGCAAACTAACATTAATTAACTTATTTCTTTTCAGCTTTTTTATATTTTTTTAAGAGACAAAACTCATCGTATTCCACAACTTTCCTCCCAAAACGTGTAGTGTATTAGTTAAATGGGGGTAATAGTGGAAAAAATATGTATAAAATATCCAAACATTATTTATTTGATTAATGACCAATAAAACGAAAATGACAAATAAAAATAATAGGAGTAATAATTAGAAATCTAAAAAAAGAGTACAGACAGAGTGTCAACTGACACCAATGAACCAGAGAACATTGACCTACCATTCTTGGAACTCCACAAGTGTTCAAGGGGTACAAGCTCCATCAAGGAGACAGCGCAAATACCAAATTAAACTCCATAAAGAAGACTAACATCTAACGAAGCTGGATTGACAGAACGAAAAAGGAAAAAACACACACCTAATGAACAAATAAAATAAGACCTCTTCTACACTTAATAGATATAACGCACGACCACTCGAGCGGTACACGAGTCACACCTCGCAACGCAGTGACTAGGAGTTTGCATAGTTCGACTAAAACCGAAATAACCGACCAAAATAAAAATTTCGGTTCGATTTTTATTCAATTCGGTTGATTATTGGTTTTGGTTGTATATTTTTCTGGTCATTTCGGTTGGTATCGATTTTCTGACACCAAATGTCTTAAATAATCGATCCGACCGATATATAATATATATATATATATGTGTGTGTGTGTGTATATTAGTATAATATAAATTATATAATATTAATCCTAAAGAAAGTGGAAAACAATCGTCCCATCTCCCCCATTTGAAATGTTGTTGTAAATTTTGAATTGATGTAAAAGTTCTGTTAACCGATCGCTGAACACCCCTAACAGTGACCCCACAGAGTAGCAAACCAGAAACTCACACTACACTATTCATGTAAACAGCTTCTACGATAATAATAATTTTAACAATTTTTTAGTTAATTAATTGGCTACGATTCATTAAAATTTAAATTATACTAGCCATTGCATTTTATGCCATTAATAAGTGATTCACGTGTATGTAAAATAATTAATATTAATATTGTTCACTTTTACTAATAATTTAATTTATAAAATGTAATATGTCCATTATCTAATTTATATATAATTTGAAATATATATTCATACATATGACTTATAATACTTTGTTTATATGTTCTATTATCAAACCAATAACACAAATAAAAAAATCCCCTCTATATATAATTTCACAATGCGCTGAGCCTACGTGGCAAACTCTCATCCTTCGGAATCCTATTTGGCAAAAAATCATGCTTTGGAGTTAGACTTGGATATAAATTGATATTTGTATTAATTGTATTTTAATATCATTTCCTCCTCTATATATAATTTCAGAATGCGCTGAGTCTACATGGCAAATTCTAATGTTTCGGAATCCTATTTGGCAAAAAATAATGCTTTGGAGTTAGGCTTGGATATAAATTAATATTTGTATTAATTGTATATTAATATCATTTCCTATTATAACCATTGAATTGCAAATATATTTCAAAAGTTGATAACTTTGTACTTCTTATCGGTTTTACATATATAATATATTAAATTAACCATCTTTTGATGAGTTTCGATTTGACATTCATATTGTATATATAAAATAAATAAATTATATTTATCTTTATAATAATAACATATATTTTTGTACTTATGTAATAGTAAATAATATCGATATTTTTATATGATATAAGTAAAAATATTCAACACGGGTTGACATTTTCATTTAATGTACGGGTGTTTAATTATTATGATTAAAAAAATATAATTTGACAATTTACTTAAACCCCAAAGTAATGTTTTATATAAAATTAAATTATTTTAGTTTTCAAAAAAATAAAAAATTAAATATTTTTATAAAGGCTTTTTAATTTAATACCCCTGTAATACATGGGTATTATACTAGTACATATTATTTATGTATAATACTTTCGTTTCGAAAGAAAAATAATAACAAAAAATAAAATAATGCATTATAAATGGCATTTTTGTTTTTTCAATATTCTATTTCTATATGTCTCGTTGAATATGTGTCCAACACCTGTCGATCTTAAGCCACGGCCCACGACACACCCTTTCAGCCGCATACATACCTGCTAGACGCTTCCACATACCTGTCACCAAGAATTGTGCTCTATTCCGTAACCTAGCAAACTCTCGCTAAATCGTGAAATCATATATAATAACTCAGTTTTCCATAGTGTGAAATTGCAGGGGGATCAATCATCTCTTATCACAGAACCCTAATTCTCACTCAGGTACCTTATTCATTTTACTCTATGTACTTTTCGTCCGAATCAATGTATGTGATTCGTGTTTAACCATTATTTAGCCTGTTGTCACTTTTGTTTTCTGTTGTTTTGCAGTTGAATTCATAGTTTTTTGCAGCCCGAGTAATTTTATTGGTGTGTTCTGTTATAATTCCCTTTTGGGTAGGAATTCGTGAATGAAGCAAATGCATTTTTCTCTAGGTGGCTGATTGCATCTGGGGGTGTTTACCACTTGATCCTCTTTCTTAATCTTTTCATCCATAAAGAATACGGAAAAATAGATATTTTAGGTCTTGTTGCATATTGTTTCAAGGAATTATTTTGTATGTGTTTGCAATTTTGAAACCCATAGAACAACTCTATTGATTGATAATAGATTCATGATGTCTTTATAAGTATGTGCCATTTGGGGTTGTGTTTAAATGTAAAGTTTGGGAACTTCCTTTTTGTCATCTCACTTGAAAGTTGCTTCAAATTGATTTATCTTATTCTGCCCTGAATGCAGACTTTATCAATGGCTGAGGGTGCAAAACCAGTTGTACCAAGTACCGAGCTATTGGAATGGCCAAAGCAGGATAAGCGTCGTTTTTTGCATGCTGTGTACCGTGTGGGAAACCTTGATCGGACAATCAAGTGCGTACTCTTCACTTAAGTTGTGTTATGCTTGCGATGGATTGTGAATTTGTCATGCAGCCTTTTTCTTCTAGTTGTCTGACCATATTTCTTGTGTTTTGTAAACTTGCTAGGTTTTATACTGAATGTTTTGGTATGAAGCTCTTGAGGAAAAGGGATATCCCGGAAGAAAAATATTCCAATGCATTTCTTGGTTTTGGCCCGGAAGAGTCTCACTTTGTTGTGGAGTTGACTTATAGTATGTTGAATTATCAGTTCGATTATTTTTTATTTGCTTGTTTTGAATTTAATGGTTTATTGTTTGTGAGAGATCATTTGACAACAGGAAACTGCATCGGTACTCTATAGATTGCTAATATTGGTATTTGCCCTAGTAACACTTTGCAGATGCGATTTGCTTGTCATAACATCACGTATGCTTTGGGTTTTCCCTTTTACACACTTTGCCAGTTGACATTAGTAAATTTTAAGAATAACTATTCCTTGAATCCCTTTACATTTTCCATCCTATTATCCATCCACCTCCATGGGGGATTGTATGCACTTAGTTTTGTTGCTTATCTTGTTATATTCTTACTCAATGCCGAAATAAAGGAGTACAAGAATTGATAGATAGTTCTCATAGTCAAGTGCTTGAAGCATACAGGGTCATGCAATTGTAGCTTTCTCTACACCTTTCATCTGCGTTACTTTTGAAAAATATGTATGACGTGACCCATTTTTTTATATTTTCTACCTTACATTCTTAATAACTTGAAACAGATTATGGAGTTAACAAGTATGACATTGGGACTGGATTCGGGCATTTTGCCATTGCAACTCAAGATGTAAGAACTAAACTTCATTGTTCCCTCATTAACAACACTAGCAAGTTATTTTTTTCCTGTTGGTCAGAAGATGAAATTCATTCAGTTTCTTCAACTCTTTGGTTTCCATATGTAAGGTTTACAAATTGGTTGAGGATGTAAAGGCAAAAGGTGGAACTGTCACCCGTGAGCCAGGCCCAGTCAAAGGTGGAACATCTGTTATTGCCTTTGTCAAGGACCCAGATGGCTACCTTTTTGAAATAATTCAACGAGGTCCCACTCCTGAACCTCTTTGCCAAGTGATGCTTCGTGTGGGTGATCTTGACCGTTCTATCAAATTCTATGAGAAGGTAAAACTTTTCACATTTGCTGCATATTGTTGTTATCACCACCATTATTGTTTTTGGTCATTACTATTTTGATTGGTGTTTCGGAAAAGTTTAGTTATTTGGAAGTGATGTCATAAAATTTTGCCTGATCTATGTGTTTGTCTCTTAGAGCTTATAATGGTTTTGTTGACAGCCCCGTTGTGCTCCAGAGTTTGACCGTTTTGATTGGTTTGAGTCGGTGTAGATGAAATGTTCAAAATCCACTTCAAATCTTGGTTTAAGAATTGGCAGAGCAGCTAATTTCTTGTATTATTATAATTCATGCAGGCATTAGGAATGAGACTTCTGAGAAAAATTGACCGTCCAGAACAAAAGGTAATAATTACACGCTTGAATGAATATACTGCTCCATGCGTTTCTTATCTTTCAATTTAACTTGAGTTTGAAAATTGGTATCGCTTGCAGTACACATTAGCCATGATGGGATATGCTGAAGAACACGAGACGACTGTTTTGGAACTTACGTATAACTACGGTGTAACCGAGTACACAAAAGGAAATGCATATGCACAGGTTCGCCAATAAAAAGCTTCTATCAATTACATACTTCTCGGAAATCATTAATTTTTTTTTTTTTTTTT